AGGAAGGGGGCCAACACTTTTTCACACCACTGTATATATATATGTGTGTGTGTGTATATATATATATATATATATATGTGTATATAGATAGATAGATACGTACATAAGATAGATGTACATAAGATAGATAGATAGACAGAACATGTACAGATGGTCACCAGTTTAATTCGTAAACTTGGTTTGTAGTGTAGTACTGGACTTGAAAGCGTATCTCTTGAAGAACAGTATCTATAAAAGTGAATGATTTACAGATATGAAGTGACTCCAGCGCTGCGAGTGTCTGTGTAACTAGGCCACACATCTGAATGCACTCAATGCTCATATGATGAATGAAGCACGTTTTTACTGTGTTTGTTTGCTTCAGTGATGGTAAATCCACCTCCTCCTCTGTTTCGGGATCAGAGCTGCTCTTTTATGTCTTTGTGAACATGATTACATGGTCTTGAAAGGGTCTGATTTGGGGTCAGAGCACATTTTGAAATGTTTGGTGCCTGGAGGCTGGAGTCTATGAGATAAAGAGCAGCGTCGAGGATAGAAAGCTCAGAGAGAATGGACTCAAATGTTCACTCTAATTTCATCATCTATATTATGAAGTGTAACTTTTCTTTGCCTCCACTTTAAAAAAAGCCTACTATACAGCTGCATGATCAAATGTAGTTTATACTTCAAAAACTAAAAGGTGCCACGTGGACCAGAAGAGCACTTCTGGAAGGATTTTCTCCACTCATTTTCTCAATAAAGAATACTTAACCATGAACCAAACCAAACAGCTTTGAGATCAATCACATTACAAACATTAACAGGAGGGAAAAAACAATTACTTGAAATTATTTATATATGAAGCATTTCAAATTACATAACTGAATCAATGTAACAATTGACATTTTTTTGAGTTTTAAGTATAAATATAAAATGTGTTTTACTTGTTCAAATAATATATTTTAATATGGAATAATGGAAATCACTAAAAAGCAAATAATATGTCTGTGTGGAGAAAATAAATGGGGTTTTTACTTGTGTCTGATCAGATCATATCTGCTTACTTGTGTGCCAAAATAAGGAAGTGTGGCATGATTTTAATTCAACACAGGCTATCAAATCATCTAAAAATGTTGCAACTTGCAACAAAAATACTGTATATTTCTAAGCAAGATAAACAGTAAATGCATGTACAGTATATGATGCATTGCAATGCAGGTTTTTGAGCTGTGATTATTTTGCATGTTACTAAGTGCAGTTTGTTTTCTTTCCAACGCTTTATTGATTGTTTTAAAGCAGTCAGTTCTCCAGATGAGGATGAGCGGATGCTGCTTTAGCACTGGCCTACTGTATGTAGACAGCGAGCAGCACACTAGGGTTTGGTGAATACACTAGAAACACATTCATAATGCATGTGGAAAAATGAGCCTGTCACTAAGATCCATGTGTTTCACTTTTACTAAACATGTCAAAATAAATGTCAAACGTGTGTGTGTTTGTGTGGTTATTGAAGCTCTCGCTGTAAGTGAAGTTTGCTGCTGGTCAATGCTGCTGATGCTGTGATCAGACAGAGTCATTGATCCGCTTCAGAGAGAAACACACAGACACGCACACAACAACATTCTCACTGCACACGCTTGCTTGCTTGCTTTCTTTCTGTTTTATAAAAAAAAAAAAAAAGTTTTCTAAAACAATTGTGTATGAATGTGCAATATGTACACAATTACATTAAATATGTGCTAATTGTGCATGCATTCCATTTCTACAATTTCATTTTTTTTCTACTTTTTCTTCGTTCATTCAATTTCTTTTCTTTATTTCCTTTTCTTGCTTGCTTTCTTTATTTTATTTTCCAAAAATAAAACTTGTGTCAAAAAACTGTATATTAATATGCAATTTGGACACTTATTCAATAAATATTTTTAATTTTGTGTGCATTCTAAAACCAAAGATCTGCTTTTTGGAAATATTGCACTTTAATTTAATTTTCATTTTAACTGCATATTTGGGATTGAAGGTTTCTACAAAACAGTTACTAATGTTTACAATTGTTTATTAAATGTAAAAGATACTTGAGAATAATATTATGTTCACATTAATTTTTACATTCATTCATTACTCATAATAGTGTGGTTTATTGTATTTTTAGTGGATGTTTCTATGTTATACATGGTGAAAACACCATCAGAAAATCACGAGAAAGCAAGGCTAACACAAATACAAATACAAAATCTAAACCACATCTGAAATTACTTTTATAGGATGAGAAACGAATCATTGAATGAACTGTTTTCCAGGTTTGTTTGGTTTAGTCAGTCGTGTAAGAACAGGCTGGAGCTGTGAAGCGCTTCTTCAGGTGCGCTTCTGTGGTTTTCTGTAGTTCAGCTGCTGTTATGTGCACTTTCTCATACGGTTTAATCACACAGAGAGCTGAGCTGGGACTTTCACTCTCGTTTACACCCTCTAATTGTCTGAGCGGGTGATTGGAGCCGTGGCCTCTGGCCAGAGGGATTGTGGGATTGAATAAGAGTCATCCCATCTAAACCATCATCTGAACTCAGCAGACACAAACTCTCAAACTCTCTCTGTCTGATTCTCTTTCATTGTTCTTCTGTTAATCTCGGACTGTTGAAGAAATTATTCTTCAGTGTGTCCAGACTCTGATTCTGTTCTGCTCTACACTTACATTGATACTTTTGGGTCTTTGGAGATTATATATACTATTTTACATACAATACACAAAAAATATCAAATCACAAATCATACAAAGAATAGAATAATTAATAGAATAAACTAAATAAATAAATGCATACATACATAATTTGCTAAACATAAATTAATGTCTAAACAACTATTCAAAACATTTACAGGAGTCACATGAAATGCTTACTTTTGTAAAAGCTGAAACCGATATCAATTCTCTCTCTCTCTCTCTCTCTCTCTCTCTCTCTCTCTCTATATATATATATATATATATATATAATTTGTTAAAGATTACTCAAATTAGTGGAAGATGCAAAATTTAAAAAAAAATTTTTCAAAAATATATTTTCATTTTATATTATATATTTATTCTATTTATTTTATGTATGTATGTACTGTATTATGTATAGATTAATGTTTGCATTTATGTTTAGATTTATGTATATATGTTTAGATTTATTTATGGTTTATTTATGTTTAGATTTAATTATGTTTACATGTATTTATGAATGCTTAGATTTATTCATTTTGTTTGTATATTTATTTGTTTATATTTGTTTCTTTTGTGTCTTATTGTTTTCAGTGTATTGTAAGTCTGGCATTCATAAGGTTGATTCTTTTTTAAAATAAGAATTTTGTTCTTAAGTGATTTGCCTGCTTAAATAAGGTGAAACAAACATTTTGAATAGTCCTGCTGTATGACAAACTGCCTCTTAATTAATATGAGCACATAAAAACAGCTTTAAAATGCTGTTTTAAATGAAGCATGCCACACCACAGGACTGTCAGCTTTGCATGTTCTGTCAAAGTATTTCTCTCCAAGTATTTAGAAATAAAATCATATAATGTTATGATTATGTATATGATAATGTTATCATATAATGTAACACATGGTGCAGTGCAATGCAACACACCGAGTCATTCTCTCCTCACTCAAGTGGTGATGCATGACTGTATGAATGTATGGTGATGTATGTTAATCTGTGTGTGTGCAGGTATTTCGTGTTGGACCCTGATGTGGGTCAGCTGCAGTATTTCGTGAGCGAGCAGGGGCGGAGTCAGAAGGCCCGCGGATCCCTGCCTCTGATTGGTGCGTCTGTGACGGCGAGCGACGAGGCGCCTCACATGTTCATCGTCAGCTCGGCCAATGGGGAGCTCTTCAAACTCAGAGGTATTTTACACTCGCGCTCGTGACTCTCAGGTCAGTGCGTTCAGGAGACGATGAGCTAAAGGTTACTTGTTTCACGCAGCAGTATTGGGCTGTTACCACGGCAACCAGCGGCCTCTCTTTACAAAATTCATGTTTCATGCAGGAGTTTGTGTATTTATTCAGTATTTTTCTCTCTGTAGTTCTGGAGGCTTTTGTATTGAGAGTCTCGCTGGCATTCAGTCTGTTTCTCAGTCTGTCCAGCCATATGGAGAAAAACTGTGAACTAAACACATGATTCACTTCCATTTGGATGTCAGTTCTATACACTACCATTCAAAAGTTAGATTTTTTTTTCCCCCAAGAAATTACTACTTTTATTCATCAAGCATGCATTAAATTGATAAAAATTGAGAGTGAAGGCATTTATAATGTTACAAAATATTTCTATTTCAAATAAATTCTGTTCTTTTGAACTTTCAATTCATCAAAGAATCCAAAAAAATTACGGTTTCTGCAAAAATAATCACCAGCACAACTGTTTTCAGCATTGATAATAATCAGAAATGTTTCTTGAGCAGCAAATCAGCATATTAGAATGATTTCTGAAGATCATGTGACACTGAAGACTGGAGTAATGATGCTGGAAATTCAGCTGCGCATCAGGAATAAATTCCATAGATTTCCAATGTTCTCTCTGTGTCATTAGGTTCATTGTTTAGAATGAATCTGTGTTTATTAGCATCTCTGTTAATTGCAGTCGGTCCATCTCCTGCTCGTTACAGAAGCATCTTCATCACCTAATTAAAGTGGGAGCTTGTTTAAATTGCTAATGCCGAGCGGATCGGAGTGAAGCTTATCCGTGATGAAGCACTCTTAACATCTGTTTTACCCATTAAATGAGCATTAAATGGGTTCTGATGAAGGTTGTAGTGCTGCATGTTCTGATGAGAGACAACATCTATTTCTATGAGCAACAATAACTGAGAAACAGTGAGAGGAAGAACATCTGGTACATTGACTCTCAGAGGATCTGCGCGCTGCTGCCATCTCAAGGGGTTCTGGGTATTTACTGTGAGGTTTAGTAGCTGGATTCTACTAGCTGGTCCAAGGTGGCTCTCAGTTGTGAGGATTTGGCTAAGCTATGAAACCAAGGACCTTGATGATGAAAATCAGGTCATGTCATCTTAAATTCAACATGAAATCAAAGCTGGCCTGCTTAAAAAAATATTTATTTATTCATTTATTATATTTAACATTTTTATTTTAGATTTATTAATTTAGTATAATTTAATTTATTTATTGATGTGTATTAGATTTATTTTATTTTATATTGATTTGTTTATTATTCGTTTTTTACATATTTGTTTTTTATTTTATATTGATGCATTTTATATGTATTTATTACATATTTAATGTATTTATTTTTACTTATTTATTTTTGGCACCTGTAACAAAATCAGGTTTTGCAAGCCAACATTAAAAAAATGACAGTATGGATAGGAAACATTAGGCATCTGATTAATAATTTAGATTTTTATTACAAAATGTTTCCTGATGCATCAGTTTTCCTGCGATATGATTGAATGCAATGTTAATGTTAGTCTGTTCCCTTGATTTTTACTCTTGTGTGCAAAATACTTCCATTTAATGTGACCAGATTAGCACACCACATCTTATCTATAATGTTTTGTAAGAGTGTGCTTGTTAAATAAACCAAATGAAATATAATCATTTTAAAATTGCAAAGATGCAGTGCGTGTGTGTGTGTGTGTGTGTGTGTGTGTTATGTTGTGTTGTGTTAATGTTTGGGCGGCTGCTGCTCTGTTTCTCATTAATGGTCTGTTTCTGGTTTATTCAGGCTCTAATGTTGATGCCCTGCTGAAGCTCAGGGAAGTTTGATGATTTCAGCTCAAGTGCTTCACTGGCGTTTGTTTTGTCTCTAGGAATAGTCTGGCTTCCTGTTGAATGTGGAAGTGATGCGGTGTTCAGTGTCACTCGTCTGACCCTCGGCAGTCATTGTGAAAGATCAGTGTGTTATTTTAGTATCAGTGAGATACTATTATACTGTAGTTTTTATTTAGAGTTTGAATTAGTATCACTTTTATGTTTACATTTTAGTTACTTCTTAGTTAGTTCTCTACTTAGTAACAGTTTTGGTGTTTTACTTCAATCCCAATCTAACATGATTTAATAGAAATGCATCTTTTAAGCTGTTTCCATGGTGACTATAATGCATTAATACTTTGCATATTTACTCTCCCTCTCTCTCTCATGTTTTCTCCCATAATTCCTCTGTCCCAGCGGTGGACGCCACAGAACAGCAGCAGTGGATGACGCAACTACAGGCGTGTACCAGACGCCACTCCGACAGCAGTGCCAAGGTCTGTGCGAACACACACACACACACACACACACACACACAAACAAACACACAAACACACACACACGAACTTTTCCAGGTCTAGAAATCACACTTATAAAATTGAAATGCAGGTATTTCAAGACCGTGAGAATCGTTGTTCTTCAAAGAAACAGTTAAAAATAAAAATAAAAAAGAACAATTGTTGAAGTGAATTAAAATAAGAAAGATCTTGATATAGTTGTTTTAGCCTGTCATATTTGAAATCATTTTAAGTCATCTTGAGGGCTCTTTGCTAAGGTGTAATCTGATCAGTTGTTGTTCACAGATGAGAAAACTAAAGGATTGTGACGAGCATATGTGTGTCGACCGAACTCAGAACACATTGGACGCACAGGTAACACACACACACACACACTTTCTCTTGTTTAATGTGTGTTTGTTACATTACGTGTCTCATGTCCTGAAGTGTTTGATTGTTTTACACACAGTGGCGGTCTGTCTCTGTTAATGCTGTGCTGTAGTAACTGCTCATCATCTCATGATCACAGAGCTTCATTGAGTGAAGAACAGATGCTTTATTCTGCCTCTTTCTCGGAGTTCCTCTGTAACTGATATCACACATATTGATCCAGACGGATCTAGAGTCACTGCTGAGGGCATTAGCACACACATACTACTTTTGTTTTTCAGTTCACAGCGTTGTTTCTGAATCTTTAAAAAAAAAACATAATCTCCCACCTCAGTCTCAAAATACAAAAATATGAAAAAATACAAATTCCACCAATATTCACATCAGCACTTTTTATATATAAATAAGCATTTTTCAATGACCACTTTTTAAATAAGTTAGCTGCATACTGCAAAAAAAGGTTTTTGATTACTTGTTTAAATTAGTTTTCTAGTTAAAATATCACTGAAAGTCCTTGAAACAAGATAAACGTACTTGAGAAGGAACACTGCATGAGACATTATGACTTGTTTTTATAGACTGTATCTTAAATATGAGTGTGTTTTGTCTTACTCCATGGCTTACTTATCCTATTTCAAGGATTTTGAGATGTTAACAGGAAAAAAAAGACAAAATACTCATTAAGTATTACGAATAATTGTTTTGCATAGTTGCATTACTAATTCAAAGCCTAAAGCACTAAAAAGAAAGGAAAATACTTTTTTCCAAAGATGAGATTTATTTGTTGTGTTATTCATTTAATTAATTTTTAAAAATTATTCATAATTTTTTATTTATTTATTCATTCATTCTTGGCACTTTTTTTTAAAAAGGTAACATTATAAAATGATTCTAAACTGTATTTATGGGACATTTTTGATTAATTGAGTCATGATGCAATGACAAAATTCCTGATACATCAGTTTTCTTGCAATATGATTCGGTGCAGTGTTAATGCTTTAATACATTAACTAATAAGAATGAAGATCACTGATAAAATGTCTAATAATGTCCTTGGCTAGAAAAATCATTGCACCACACACTGCACTAAATAAAATGAATGGTTTATTTAAAAAATGATTTCAGGCCTGTGGGACGGCATTTGGCTTCAGTTGCTTTGTGCCCACGTTCGCTGTCAGAATGTGTTCGGCCCACACACACACACACACACACACACATCTTTGTTCACCTGAGAGATAGAGCGCTATAGTGTTTTACAGAGAGAGAGAAAGAGACAGACACCTGTCTGTGTGAACATCTGACCTACTTCTGCTCTGTGAGTCACTTCATTTAAAGGGGTCATATGATGTTGCTAAAAAGAACATTATTTTGTGTATTTGGTGTAATGAAATGTGTTTATGCGGTTTAAGGTTCAAAAAACACATTATTTTCCACATACTGTACATTATTGAAAGGAAAAATTGAAATCGCATCATATGACCCCTTTAAAGGCTCATATAATGTTATATTCAAGGCTGTGAATTGTTGTGATTAATTGCATCATCTTGTTGTAATTAACACACTGAATTCTGAGTAAACTCGGTAACAGGCGCTTGTGTGATTGTGAAGTACAGTAATCTGTGTGAATGACACTCACATCACAGTAGCAGCTCAAACACAAAAACAAACTGATTATCCTCAAACTGCATCAAAACTCACAGCAATACACATATATTCGTTTATCAACATATTCCATACTGAAAACAGCTTTTCTCACTTGGATTTAATCTTACTGTAAAGATGCAGTTCTCTTCACATTTCTGTGAATCACTCATGGGTGATATTTCACTTATTGATTTTCATTGATCATTACTCTTCACCACACAAACACGCTAACTGACTTTTGTTACACATCACATCTAGGTTTGATTTATAAGTTACCAATTTAGTGATAAACAGATGCTTTGCTGATGTCTGTGCATGTGTGATAAAATCCTGTTTTAATCAGCTCTAAATGTTCAGAACAAACTTTAGAAACCACAAAGTTTTAATGCCTAACACTGATTACATGCATTTAAACATTGTTTAATGGTGTTATTTTAGTATCATTGAAATGATATACTGTATACTGTTATAGTTTTATTAATAGTTTGAATTAGTTTTTGTTTTTATATTTACTTTTCATTTTAATTTTATTTAAAGTTTTAGTAACTTTGTTGTGTGTTATTGTCATTATTATTATTATTTTTAAATATGTCTACATAGTTTTTTTTTTATTTCAGTTTATTTTATTTTTATTTATTTCAGTTTACGTTTGAGTTATTTTATAAAATCAAGTTAACTAAAGCACTTGAGCGGAAACTAAATGAAAATGAGAAATGTTTCCTTGGCAACTAGCTTAATATATTTTACTTCAGTTAACATTTATTTTATTTCAAGAAATTATTTTTTTTGTTTGTTTTATTTAATGATAATATCCCTGATTTAATCATCATTTAATTAGTTGTATATGTTAATGCATTAACTAGGATGTTTGTAGGTTTCAGTATTTTTTGATAATATATCAGGCTCTTTTTTTTTATCTTTTAAGACATTATTTTATCTGTATAGTTCTGATGCTTTAGTGTATTTAGCAGTCGTGTGAAGGTCATTTTCTGGTTGTGACGTCTGTGGCTTGTGTTTTCTGGAGTGTGATTGCGGTGTGAATGAAGCTGTAATTCTGCATGCACTGCTGGTTAGACTGTATTATGTGTATCTGTGAATGGGAAGTTTTTTTTTTTTACCATCTCTCTCTGTGTGTCTCAGGGTTCGTCGGGCCGAACGCGGAGTTTCTCTCTGCTTCCTCACCTCCCTCCGTCTTCCTCTCCTGCATCTCAGAGACATCTCCCTCACCACGGGCCTCAGAGCAACATCGTTACCATCACGCACCATAAGTCGCCTGCAGCCGCCCGCCGTGCCAGAAACCAGTACCCAGAGCGCCTCCTGGAGGTCAAAGAGGTCAGACACACACACCTCAAACACTGGACTGATGGAGGATAATTACAGACCATCATGAATCTCCTGTCTGATCTAATGCAGAATTAAAGAACACTCAAAATATTATTAAAATTTAAGATGTATGTATTTGAATTGGACAAACAATTTCCATCAATTAAGATGACAGTTTAACAAACTAATAAACTTAATATTATGCATATTTGTCAGTCATACATAAATAAAAACGGTTTTCTAATTTGTTTCAAATCTCATACATTTTAACTGACTGAATATTGCTTGTTCCACAGTTAGCCATATTTGAACCATGCTCATACTTTAAACTGAATAAATGTAATTGTTTTCACAATAAACAGATTTATGCTGATTCCAAACAATTTAAATAAATGCATTTTGAAAATATGATTATTTAAATTAAATCAAATAACTGCAAATAACCTAGTTAATATTAAACTATGGCATGATTTTTTTTTTTGAGAGCAGAAATCTGACCGGTTTCATTTATGTATGACTGACAAGTAGGCTATGCATCACCTTGAGTTTATTTGGTTATGTTCAAATAAAAGCATTATGTTAAAATTGTGTAATCTAATGGATGAAATTTTAAATGCAATTTAAATACATTTGTGTGTGTGTGTGTGTGTGTGTGTGTGCTCCTTTCAATTAATGTCCATGAATGTGAAGTGAATTTGTCACATTTCACAGGATGTTGAATTGGACTTTGGAAGAGGGAATAACTGAATTTAAATTCAAAGGAATTCAACAGAGCATAAGAAATTATTAGTTCCAATAGTGAGACAAAATCAAACATATAGTCAAATTATGTGAGCTGGATCAAGCTTTAATCTGTGCAAATCAAATTATTACTGGAGAGCTGCTTTATAGGAGAAAATCATGTTGTAATTGTAATGGAAAGCAACAACTGACAATGCTTTTTGTGTGCGTGCGCGCGCGTTTAATACTGTAAAGCTGCTTGCTTTATAGCGATCTATTGTATAGAGTTATATAAATAAATATGACGTGATGAATTGCAGAGCTGTTGCAAACATATCCACGTTGCTATGATCAGATGCTTTCTTAACTGCTGTTTTCTCACTACTAGTATTTTAGTTGTTTTATTTTGTTATTGAGGGGAAATTGCATTTGCATATTCATCGAAACGCTGCTCTCAGCAGCATGCGGATGTTCGCTAACAGTTAAACGCTGCTTGTGTAACTTATACAGAACTTTTTACCTCGAAAACTTCACTGTGAGTAGGCTATATCCACCTTTAAACATGACAACACATTTGTTTGTAGTTTTGTAACGCGTACCCTCACTCTACTGGTTCTGCTTCGTTTGTACTAGGGATGGGCGTATCGATCCGAAGTATCGATATATCGATACTGACGCGAGTATCGAAAGTATCGATACTCAAACAAAAAATATCGATACTAAGGTGCGTTTTATTTACCAGTGGTTTTATTTAACAAAAATAATAATAATGCGTACAATATGCATTGAATTGGACGAATAACCTTTGTTAGCGAATAATTGTGTAGGATAGAACTATTTTCCTGCCCATCTGAACACATGCAAATGTTGCAAGACAGAACCAATCAATCACAGAGAGCATTCACTCACTGCTGACAGTGCATTCAAACAGGGCTGCGTTTCCCAAAAGTATCATAAAAAAGCATTAAAGCTTTTGGGAATGGCAGCCCTGAACAATGCTTATCAGAGGACAGAAATAAAAACATAAATGTTTGAGTTATTTCACAATAAACAAATTGAAATTGTAGCCTACATAGTTTGTGCAATTACAATTATTTAAATTGAAAGTTGAAAGATAATATTGATCATGTAAAGGTTGCATTTTATGCATGCAACAGCCATTCACTGGCAGTCCCTAATGGCAGTACAAAATATTGCACTAAATCAAAAGTTCAAATGTTACAAATAAGTTAGAATATTAATGTTGTAATACTGGTAGCACTAATATAAAAATGTGATGATATATGTTACAAAAAAGTAACAATTTTGAAATACGTTGATGGTTGTATTTTTTTGTAGGGAAAAATTTGGGATTAAACGGGTTAAAATGCGTTTTAAACATAAAGTTAAGTGGTTTTCATTACCCATTTTACTCTTAGTAATTTAATAATTTCCATAATTTAAAAGTTTAGTGCAGAAGTATCGAATCAATATCGACGATACTGCCTTGAAAAATATCGGTATCGTATCGAAAACAAAATAAGGGGTATCGCCCATCCCTAGTTTGTACTTCTCATAAATGTGTCTTCTATTGGATTACAGCCTGGAGAGCTGAATTAGAGTTGCGCTACAGCGCCACACTGGTCAAATCGCGTTATTGCAGGTCCTTACTTTAGGTAATGAGATCAAACGACTATTCGACAACTAAAGTTTTTGTCGCCAATTTTTTTATTGTCAAGATTATTATCTTGAATAAAATGTAATGAATAAATAAAATAAAATAAAAGTAATTAAAATGTAATAAAATAAAATGTAAGATGCTTTGAATAAAAGCATCTGCCAAATGCATGACTGTGAATACTGCATTTTCACACCGACTTTCTCCGGAAACATCTCTTTCCTTTAATAGAAATAAGGAACCAACTGAGCTGGTTTTGTAGCTCCGAGCATAAAGAAGCGTCACAGAGATGTTTCTCCTCATATAAACTGTGTCAGTTTGAGCTCTATTGCAGTGGTTCCCAACCCTGGTCCTGGAGGCACCCCAACACTGCACAATTTGCATCTCTCATTTCTCTGACACACCAGTTTCAGGTCTTGGAGTCTCTACTAATGAGCTGATAACCTGAATCAGGTGTGTTTGATTAAGGAGACATTCAAAATGTGCAGTGTTGGGGTGCCTCCAGGACCAGGGTTGGGAACCACTTTATTTCTGTGCCAGAGCATCATTTAGAGAATTAAGTAAGTCCTGCGTCAGCTGAAACATTATTACCTCGTCCGTCACTTCTGTCGACACACGGCTCGTGTGATCATCCACATCAACCACAGCGGAAACTTTACCGCTTTGATTTCAGGCCCTCGATTACATCAGGCATTTCAGAGGTGGAGAAAGATCTGATTAAAAATTATGATACCAAGATACTTTACAATAATGTGCTAAGAAGTCTCATCTGCTCACCAAGACCACATTTAGGGCTATTTGATTATAAATACAGTAAAAACAGTAAAAGTAGCTGTTTTCTATTTGAATATATTTGAAAATAGAATTTATTTCTGTGATGCAAAGCTGAATTTTCAGCATCATTACTTCAGTCTTCTTCAGTGTCACATGATCCTTCAGAAATCATTCTAATATGCTGATTTGCTGCTCAAGAAACATTTCTTATTATTATAAATGTGGAAAACAGTTGTGCTGCTTCATGTTTTGTGGAAATTGATATTAATTTTCAGGATTCTTTGATGAATAGAAAACTCAAAAAGAACAGCATTTATATGAAATATAAATATTTTGCAACATCATAAATGTCACCTTTAATGACATTTATGCATCCTTCATTAATAAAAGTATTAATTTCTTTAAAAAAAAAAATCTTACATCAGAATCAGTGTTTTATTATAGAAACAGACTTGCGAGCTTTTTGATGATATTTGTACCAGTTTAATCCCAAGGGCTGTGTTCTAGTTAGTTATGTACACTCTTGAAAATAAAGGTTCCAAAAGGGTGTTTTTGCAGTGATGCCATAGCAGAACCATTTTTGGTTCCCCAGAGAACCTTTCAGTGAACAGTCCCTAAAAGAACCATTTTGAAGTACATTTTAACAATCTAAAGAACCTTTTTTGACTATAAAGAACCTTTTCTGCATTTGCAAGGTTCCACAGATGTTCAAGGTTCTTCACAGAACCATTGATGCCAATAAAGAGCCTTTATTTTTAAGAGTGTAGCTGAATGGCGCCACCTGCCGGTCGACCGCAGTAAAGCTCCTTCCTCATTTCTTCAGGTTATGAACCAGGCCGAGGGTCAGCAGAAGAGTCTGGTCCAGTCCATCGAGTCTCTGCCGATGCGAGGATCCCTGTCCTGCCTGGATCATGACCTGCTGCTGCTGAAAGCCACCTCTGCCGCCACCCTGAGCTGCCTTGGCGAGTGCCTGACTATATTACAGCAGAGTGCCGGACACGACCGCGGGCCGCCCTCCGGTGAGTCCAATACGGACACCCTACAGACGCCTGTGCCTCCTCCAGACCCGGAGCCGGCCAAAGATCAGGGCGAGGTTGACTGCGGCCCCTGTCCGTATCTAACGGGCCCCATGCAGCTAAACGTTTGCAATAATTGTTGTTGAAGGGCTGTTCGTCATTCATACTGCATGTTCACTGTTTGTGTGAGTTCATCTGTATTTTAGCTCTTCATTTGAATCGTTTGTTCATTCGGTTCTGTGCCTGGTTGTATCATTTGTATTCGTGCTGAGTGTGTAACATGTTAATGCATGATTTGTGTGAGTGTTTGGAATCTGATTCCAGTCGCTTTTCAATGCTGGACGAACCACATGCCAAAGAAACACACACACACACACACACACAGACAGGTGCCTGAAAACTCAAAACGACCCAGTGGATCCAATAAAACATTTCAGATCGACCCTGACATGGACTCAGATGCTTCACTCTGGGCATCAAAATCAATTGCCATGATTTTTTATTTGATTTTATCTTTTGCATTTTTATTCATTTTTTTTATGTTGATTCACTCTGCCAAAAAAACAACTAAAAGAACAAAACGAGAACTCCTTGATATCAATGGACACCTTTGATATCTTTCTTTCTCCAAGGAGAAACACTTGAGAGCTGAATGACTTTGTGCCTGATCTGAATATTGTATTTTCCTTTTGTATTTTCAGTTTTGAATGTTGATCTTCAGATCTCAGGTTCTGTTCCTTGTGTTTGGAGAGAACGAACTGCGTTTTGTTTCAGCCTTCGTTTAATGCTGTTTTTCTTCTGTTTTGTAAAACATATTTTTGAAAGTATGAGAGCGAAAATACTTGTTCCTCTCTCACCCTGAATGCTTCAGATGAGTTCAAATTGAGATGGAAATGAGACCGTATTGGTGTATGGAGTGAATCCAAAACTGATCGCTTAGAATGTTTCTGATGTTACGGAAATGAATTAAAGGAATGGGTTCAGACGACATCTTTGATCTCTGACTGAGGTCTGTTACACACCTAGTGGCTAGTGACACACATTGAAGGGGCGGGACTCTGACATGGGCGGGGCTGTGAACGGGGCGGGGCCTACAGATCCAAACGAGGGTAACACCAATCAGGTAAATCCATATTGTGTGTTTGTTTGCATGATCAGTTTGCTTTACGTCACAATGATCAGCCAGAAATGTTTTACATGTTCTGGTCTGCATGGATGTTTCTCTGCATGGTCTGTGTGAGGATTTGTTTTCCAACTTATTCAGAAAAGAATTAATTAATCTGAAATGATGCTTGATGATGTCCGTTGTAGTGTTTTCGAGGAGAATCGTGGTCATAAGAAACACTTTTATTTTTTGACATTTTATTTAATTATTTTCAGCTGTGGATTTACTGTTCAAAAGTTTGGGAACATTCCACATTTCAGTGTTTCTGAAAGAAGTTTTTTTCTGCTCAACAAGGCTGCATTTATTTGATCACAAATACAGTAAAAATAGTAATGTGAAATAGCATTACAATTTAAAATACATGTTTTGTATTTTAATATATTTAAAAAATGTATTCAATGTTAAAATTTTTCCCTGTGATTTACAGTTTTAAGAATCTGAAGGTCCATTCACACCAAGGGCTATAACAGTTACGATAAATATATACGTAGTATTAAAGGGTTACTCCACCCCAAAATTAAAATTTTGTCATTAATCACTTACCCCCATGTCATTCCAAACCCATCACCACACAGATACGCTGTTACGCGGAGGAGACAAATTGATGAATAAAGTCGTTATTTTTGTTTTCTTTGCTTGGTAAGTGATTAATGACAAAATTTTCATTTTGGGGTGGAGTAACCCTTTAAAAATTGTTCTAAAAAAGAATCACAGAGTCCAACCATAACGATAACGATACAGAGGAACAATATTGGAATAACTTTCAGAACGATTTTTATTTTCAGCTGATGAACGTTAAAAACATCGACAGCCAATCAGAATCCATCTTGCTTTAAAGAGCTAGTGCGTTTATGGACGATAAAACTGCAGTGCACTCATAATAAACAGAGCGTTATACCAAAGTCAGTTGACGTGTGCTAATATGGTTATCAATCTTGGTGTAAAAGGGGTTTTTTTTTTTTTTGACATTTTATTGTTCAGAGGTTGCTTATTTAGAGCTCGAGGATTTAAAGGGATAGTTCACCCAAAAATGTAAATTCTGTCATTAATTACTCACCCTCATGTCATTCCAAAGCCGCAAGACCTTCGTTTGTCTTCGGAACACAAATTAAGATTTTTTTTATGAAATCTGAGAGCTTTCTTATCCTTCATAGACAGCAAGGGTCCAACCATGTTCAAGACACAGAAACATAGTAAAGACATTTAATATGACACATTGTTAAAATGGTCCATGTGACTTCAGTGGTTCAACCGTGATTTTATTTGTATATTTTGTTTTCTTTGCTGAAAAAATATTCTTGTAGCTTTGTAAAATTACGGTTGAACCACTGATGTCACATGGACTATTTTATCGATTTCCTTGCTATGTTTCTGGGCCTTGATCGTGGTTGTACCATTGCTGTCTATGCAGGGTCTGAGAGCTCTCGGATTTCATCAAAATATCTTAATTTGTGTTCCAAAGATGAACGAAGGTCTTATGGGTTTGGAGCGACATGAGGGTGAGTAATGAGAGAATTTTCATTTTTAGGTGAACTATCCCGCTAAGTGTCAAACATTCGGCTGTGAGAGACTCCACATACTCTCCAAAGATCAAAGATCTCATTGGTGATTTTTATTCTTTTCTTGGGTAAATCTGTGAGAAAAGTCGAGGGAAAGCATTAGTTAATCTCTCTAGAGTGTTTCTGATATTAGTCATATGGGCCAGAGTTCAAGTAAACAGTCTGTATATAGTCATCAAAAGTGATTGTTTATGTAAATGATAAGACTTCTGTTCCAGCAGTGGTTGTTTATTTCAGTTTTCTGAGAGTAGATGGTTTCTAAAAAGAGCCTCATGCATCTCATGCATTTATAAATTAATAAAATCTTTATAAATTAATATCTATCTATCTATCTGTCTGTCTGTCTGTCTGTCTGTCTATCTATCTCTTATTAAAATGCAAATAATCTACAGCTTAATGGGCCACAATATCACAAAGACAAACTGTATTTACATCTCAGTTATGTCATAAATTGTATGTGGCTGAATCTGTCTGAATGTAAGAAACTTGACATCAGCTGATCAGAAATATTGTGAGAGCAGATGCCAAGTTCATGCAGCCCTGATGATGCTTTGATCATGATGTCATGAGAATTTGAGATGTTTCTGCATCAGTACAAGAGCTTAAAGAAACTTCACATCTTTTTACAACACACTGAACTGCTGCAGAATTAATCTACAATTAATTGGTTATATATATATATAAAAAATAATAATACAGTGTTAAAACATTCAAAGCAGCATATGATGTTTGTGTTGAAAGATGTGAATCATTCCTGCTGAAAAAAAATCACCTAGGTGGTTTGCTGGTTTTAGTTGGTTTCCAGTTTTAGTTTGATGGGCATTTGTCAGCCAGCTAAACTCTGTAAGCCACTTTAGGCTGTTTTTTTTCATCAGGGTCATCAGCGTGACAGACTGAACGCAGACTGAAGGTCACTAATTGATTTGGTTTTGAGTTTCGGTGTGATGGGTAACTGCTGACCGCTGGTCATGTGTTCCTGCAGATAATGTTCCCGTGTGGACCGTCCCAAAGTCGCCCTCAGGAGAACTTCTGAGGAACAGCGGTGCTGTTACCCGGAGCTCCACTGAGCCCTCGCACTCCCTCAGGAAACCAAACTTGCTGCAGAACACTGAGGTGAGGCAATACTGCGCATTATACATATTTTACCCTTCAAAAGTTTTGGGTCAGTAAGATTTTGAAATGTTTACATTTTTATGCTCATTGAAGCTGCATTTGTATTTCCAAAAATACAGTACTAGAAATGCAATATTGTAAAATATTATTTCAGTTTAAAATAAGTTTTCTATTTTAATATATTGTAAAATGTAATTTATTTCTGTGATCAAAGCTGAATTTTCAGCATCATTACTCCAGTCTTCAGTGTCACATGATCTTTCAGAAATCATTCTAATATGCTGATTTGCTGCTTAAGAAACATTTCTGATTATTAACAATGTTAAAAACAGTTTTGCTGCTTAATATTTTTGTGGAAACTGATTCTTTGATGAATAGGATGTTGAATCAAACAGCATTTATTTGAAATTGATTGTTTTATAAGATTATAAATGTTTTTACAATCACTATTAATAAATTTAATTCATAATATAGGCTATATATATATATAAATGATATACAAACTATATAATCAAATATTTTTCTATTTTTTTTTTTATGTATTCATTCTTTTATTCATTTTATAGAATATTGTTGCATAAATTTAGTTGTGTGAGGTCATATATGTGATGTGTGTGTTTGCTACAGGATGGGATGGAAGTGATTTCTCCTGAGGAGGAGGTGATGGATTCAGATGATAACACTGAAGAAGATCTGGGTGTGTTGGACGACCAGAGGAGCGTCATTCTGCATCTGCTGTCTCAACTCAAACTGGGCATGGATCTCACACGGGTGTGAATCACAACAACACATCAGTAACACATCAGTATCAGTATTTGACTTTAAGGTGTCTATCTGTGTGCAGGTTGTTCTTCCCACATTCATCCTGGAGAAGCGTTCACTGCTGGAGATGTACGCTAACTTCATGGCACACCCGGACCTGTTCCTGTCCATCTCTGCCGGAAGCACCCCGGAGGAGCGTATGATGCGTTTCGTTGAATATTACATGACCGCCTTCCATGAAGGACGTAAGGGTGCCGTCGCCAAAAAGCCCTACAACCCGGTGCTGGGCGAGACCTTCCACTGCTCGTGGGAGGTTCCACAAGATCGAGTCTGCCCTCTGAGGACTGAGACCAACCCCAGGACTAATCAGGAGGTGACGGGGGCGGGGTCAGACCCTTACAGGGTGCGTTTCGTGGCGGAGCAGGTTTCCCATCATCCTCCAGTGTCTGGGTTTTACTGTGAGTGTGCTGAGAGAGGCATGTGCGTCAACACACACATCTGGACCAAGAGCAAGTTCATGGGCATGTCAGTGGGCGTCTCTATGGTAGGAGAAGGTGGGTCAATTTTCACTCAGAGGTTGCTAGTAAATTTCACAATTAAAGGGATTGTTCATGCAAAAAAAAAAATTAGCTGAAAATGTACTCATCCTCAGGCCATCCAAGATGTAGATGAGTTTGTTTCTTCATCAGATGTGGAGAAATTTAGCATTACATCACTTGCTCACCAATGGATCCTCTGCAGTGAATGGGTGCCGTCAGAATGAGAGTCCAAACAGCTGATAAAAACATCACAATAATCCACAAGTAATCCACACCACTCCAGTCCATCAGTTAATGTCTTGTGAAGTGAAAAACTGTGTTTGTTAGAAATGAGTCCATCATTAAGAAGTTTTAACTTCAAACTGTCCTTTATCCATAATATTGCTTTCTCCAGTGAAAAGTCACCTAGTCTGAATCAGGAGAAAAATATGCACAGATCAAGCCCAGTTTATAAGCGAAAACAGTCAAGAACAGTTCTAAACAAATATGTTGGTGGATTTTTATGTGATAGTACAACAGGAGATGGACTTATGATGCTTACATATGTTACAGAATGTTACGATGTGTTTACTAGTTGCTCTTGTGTAAAGTTATATATGAATGTATGTGTGTATATACACTGAACAAAATTATAAACGCAACACTTTTGTTTTTGCCCCCATTTTTCATGAGCTGAACTCAAAGATCTAAGACTTTTTCTATGTACACAAAAGGCCTATTTCTCTCAAATATTGTTCACACACATGTCTAAATCTGTGTTAGTGAGCACTTCTCCTTTGCCAAGATAATCCATCCACCTCACAGGTGAGGCATATCAAGATGCTGATTAGACAACATGATTATTGCACAGGTGTGCCTTAAGCTGCCCACAATAAAAGGCCACTCTAAAATGTGAGCCTAAGGCACACCTGTGCAATAATAATGCTGTCTAATCAGCATCTTGATATGCCACACCTGTGAGGTGGATGGATTATCTCGGCAAAGGAGAAGTGCTCACTAACACAGATTTAGACAGATTTGTGAACAATATTTGAGAGAAATAGGTCTTTTGTGTACATAGAAAAAGTCTTAGATCTTTGAGTTCAGCTCATGAAAAATGGGGGCAAAAACAAAAGTGTTGCATTTATAATTTTGTTCAGTGTGTGTGTGTATATATATATATATATATATAACTTATGTAGTATGTATGATTCTCCTTTAAGGTTCTTGGAATCGGGATTTCATGAGATTTATTTCAAGATTTTTCTGTAGCAGATACTTTTCACTACGTCACAATTCAGTTCAGGGGTGAAAGGTGTTGTGTGAATGCGTTTGTTTTCCCGTTGGACTCTTGGTGTGATGTGAACCTGATGGATCATCTGTGCTGATGTGTTCAGTCGTGCTTTAGGGTTTTGCTCTGTGCTCTTCAGGCGTGTTGTACCTGCGCGATCACGGGGAGGAGTACGTGTTTACATTCCCGAGTGCGTACGCTCGATCCATCCTCACCGTGCCGTGGGTGGAGCTCGGAGGAAAAGTCACCATCAGCTGCGCTAAGACCGGATACTCGGCCAACGTCACATTCCACACCAAACCCTTCTACGGGGGCAAAGTTCACAGGTCAGTCAGCAATGTCATTGATTCTGAAATCTGAAAGTCTATGAGTGATGATGATGATGATGATGAAGGTGTGTGTGTTCAGGGTCAGTGCAGAGGTGAAGCAAAACTCCAGCGGGACGGTGGTGTGTAAAGCTCAGGGCGAGTGGAACGGGACACTGGAGTTCATCTACAGCAGTGGAGAGACCAAAGTCATCGACACAAACAAACTGCCCGTCATCAGGAAGATGATTCGCCCCGTCGAGAAACAGGGCCGGACCGAGTCCAGGTAAAACTCTCTGATTACTATATTTATATATATAATTTTTGGTAACCACCAATACTGTTAGTTTAGGGTAGCTGTGGCTCAAACCTTACACTGGGTGGTGGTCTAATAAATTTAAGCACTATAAGAAACATTTCTGATTATTATCAATGTTGAAAACCGTTGTGCTGCTTCATATTTTCTGGAAACCATGATACACATTTATTTTTCAGGATTCTTTGATGAAAGAAGTTCAAAAGAGCAGCATTTATTTGAAATCTTTTGTAACCTTAATTTCACTTTTGATCGATTTAATGCATCCTTGCTAAATACAATTTTTTCTTATTAAAAAAGTCTTTAAAAAGCCCATACTTTGGGATTTCTGAAGGATCGTGTGACTCTGAGGACTGGAGCAATGATGCTGAAAATTCAGCTTTGATCACAGCAATAAATTACTTTTTACAATATATTCACATAGTAAACAGCTATTTAAATTGTAATAGTATATCTTAATATTGCTGATTTTACAGTATTTTTAACAAATAAATGCAGCCTTAGTAAGCTACTTTTTTTATTTTGTGGTCATTGATATAGTTGTGATATTCTGTGTTTTTGATCTCAGGCATCTCTGGCAGCATGTGACCGCGGTGCTCAAGGAAGGAAACGTTGATCTGGCCACTGAACACAAGCATGTGTTAGAGGAAGACCAGCGATCAGATGAGAGACAGAGAGCTGCCAACAACATGCCCTGGAAACCCAAATACTTCAACAAAGAGGTGTGTTCATGACTGAAACCACTCAGACACGTCTACAGTTACAGACTGGTTTTGAAACCTGACAGACTATAAATCTGAAGTAAATGCATTAGAAAACTTTGGGAAAAATGGACCATTTAGATTGTGAAGCTTATCTCTCTTATGCAGCTAAGATGAAACCATTTTAACCGTTTTTCTGGAGTTTCTATGGTGTGAAGCTGATGAAGGTATTTGTCTGTGTGCAGGATGACGAATGGGTCTACAGAAACCCCTTATGGAAAACACATTGAAGAAAGGAAGATGAACGCTGATCAGACTAACACAGGGACTGAAAACAAACCGCAAAAATCAAAAACAGGAGAATAATGATGCATCACACTACAGACTGTACAGAAACCAGTGTGTATATATGAGAACATGGACACATAGAACAGACCTTTTATACACTGTATAAATGATATATTATTTTTCACGATTATAACCGAGCCTTTGTGGATATGCACATGTACACAGTATTTATGTGATCTGTTACTAGATGATTTGTTAACAGAGTAAGAGTTATGGATTTACATCCAGTGTGCATTTAACAATGTGGACAAGATGTTCAGAATCAAATTCAGTATTTCACCCCAATATTATATATATATATATATATATATTAATTAATATAATTCATTATATTGTAATAATTCATAATTAAATTGTAAATTCAATTATACATTGTATAAATTCAATTCTATCATAATTATATTATTAATAATACATTATATAAGGTTTTTGCATTGTGACATTATTTTAATAAAAATTACACATTTCCCACCTAACTTATTATTACTGCAATATCCTATTTTTTTATTCCATTCCAACAAATAAATATTGTAATATAATATTTTATTTAAATCAGCATAACTTAGTACAGCAAATACAATCACAATATAGAAGTACTTCACAATTATTTTAAATAAATCTTGATGGTCCTGAAATAAGCTTCAGTTTCTTATGTTTAGTTAAGAAATAAAACTGTATTTTGCTGTGAAATATGATCTGCACATGTTCTTGACAGATGAACAAGTGATGATATTATGTTTGAGATGAATCAGCAGACATTAAACAGATGAAAATGGTTGTGTTTTCACTGATCAGGTGAGCTGATGGTGCTGTGATTGAGTTATTAAATGTTAAATGAATGAGCATGTCTGGTTAATCAATATCCTCTTCATGAGTCACTGCTAATTACTGAGGCCTGCTGACAGAACGCTATTGTTCAAACTAATTGGCCATTAAATGAGATTTTACCCGAGAAGTTTGACATCGCTCTGCCCCTCCGCAATTCTGATGCACTTTTAAAGGGGATCATGAAAATCTGATTTTTAAGTGCTATAATCAGGTCCTCGGTGCATCTACCAACCAAGGAAACGTGAAAAAGATTAACCCAGTAACTTTGTTTTGGGTAGCCTTTTTCTGCAAGCGTCTGAGAAAACGAGCGCGTCTGATTTGGAACGCAGCCTGTGACAGCAGCCGTCTTTGAACCTCTCTCACTGTACGACACAGGACCACCGATTAGGAGCCACGATCACAGAAATTGCCACGATTGTTTCACAATGCCAATCTTTCATCTGGGACAGCCGAAAATCATGCAGTGTGTTTAGGGCTTTAGATATGTAGGACATACCCATTGATCTCACCTCAGATCACTTACCTGTGGCCTGTAGCACGAAGCGAGATGAACAAACTCAGAGTTTCAGAGTAGGTTTAGAGTTGACAAAACTAAACAAATCCAACCTGGCTTAGATCAGGATCAGCTATGAACCTATGATTAGTTTCGTTGAGGTTGAACTGGAATATCCTACATAAAAAAAGAGGAATAACTGAGAAAGGATAAACTACACCCATTCGCTATGAATTCGCTAACAAATGTTTTGTGCGCCATTTCAAAGATTGCAACTATTTGAGTGCTATGAGTGGCTAACAGCTAGCACCGAGCACAACAAGTTATTTGGCCATGTTTGGCCTTTTTTTGAAATTGTTGATCAGCTGTCATTGTTGTTGAGAGCTTGTGTGCGGAATAATATGCGAATTATATGCATATGGCTGCGTTAGCTGTTACAGAGATGTGTAAGATAGATGTGTAAGGGTATGTAGTTTACAGTTGCTTACTGAAGGCCCTGACTGAAACCCCACGGTACACAACTGGATATATGTCACTTTGCTCACAGCTTGATTGGTCCAGTTTGGGTTTGCGATCTCTAAACCAGAATAAAACTTGCTCTGGAGCAGGGTAGCTGTAGCGTAAGTTACCATGGTGTGAAACCCGCTCAACACCAACCCATCTTCTTGAGCCCGAAAACTCAGAGTTTGCTCAAACTAAACACAAACTTACCTGGGTAAAAACTGAAACCGGCTTCATGCTACAGGCCACTGGACTCCTTGCAAGTTTGCCATCTTCACAGCCTTCTCCGGTCTGCTCTGTGGATTCTTCCTAGAGAGGAAATGGACATTGTTGACACTCAATCAACAGCTAAAGCCGCTTTTCCACTGAAATTACCTGGAACAATTTGTCCCAGGAACTTTTTCCCCCCAGACCTTGCTGTCTGCGTTACCTTCGTGGTCAAAAGTACCATGAAGAATAGGCAAATACTCTGGTGACGTAGGTTTGCTCGTGTTTCTCAATACCAAGTACGCAAATTTCGGATTTGCGTCCTCAGTAGTTCGGACTGTGCCAGTTTGACTCAGGAGTGCGAACTCACGGGGACGGGACGACGCAAGTCCGGTAATTCTGCAAATGGAACAGCAGCGTAATTGATAACGTCAGTCAGCTCGCCTTGGCTACTGCAATTTTCCTCACTGTATTTACAATAAGACGGAATATGATATCAAACACCTCTGCCTCTTTTCGTTTTCATTTAAACATATTAATAGCCACAGAAATGTAGTTCAGGGAACGTAGCCTACATACATTACAATGAAACGAAATATTAAATCAAACATTGCCTCTTTTCATTTTCATTTTAACATATTAATAGACTAATAGAATAAAGACCAAAGATTACCTGTTAGATTTCCCCAAATGAATTATATCTTATGTTTAACCACTACAGAGACATCAGAGCCAGCGGCAAATGTCAGAAGGACTAGCCGAGTTGAGGCTGCTCTCATCAGGAAACATGAGCACTGAGCGCCCGCTGCTCGAGTGGAGCTGATCGTCTCCGAAATCGGCGAAGCACATTTTCAAATAGTCGCTGTCTTTATAAATAAACCGCAGATTTGAGTTTTAAACAACTACATTCTCGCCTGAAATACTTTTAAAACTACATTTCATGACACAATAACAGTAATATTTTTTTTTTAATTATGCGAATGAATGGTGGTTGAAATACAATGCTGTGTGAACTCAACCGATCAGCATGTTCAGTGCCCAAGTCCCGCCCCCAAAATTTCCGGACCTTTTAAAAAGTACTACCTCGCGAGCAGGTACTTTCTGAGAGGCAATTTTTTACCCGGAAATTTAGATCCTGGTTCCTGTGGTGGAAACACACCGAGTACCGGAGTTGTGCCCAATTCTGACCCCCGCCAGATTACTACCCCCCTAGTATTGGTAGGTTTAGGGTAAAGTGTGGGGGAGGGGTTCGGATTAGGCAATCAGGTAGCGATTTCAACTAGGGGGGTAATAATTTGGCAGGGAGTCGAAGTCCCTAGTTCCTGGGGAAAGTTCCTGCGGTGGAAACGGGGCTTAAGTTACCAGAACTGTTCACAAGATACTTATCTGCTGTCTTGCATTGCTGCTCACCTGCTTATCACCTGTATAATAAAGTCTCTCCTCTTCTGTCTGTGACAATATGCTGTGCCACACCGCCCAGCAGTGTTCAGCACAGGTTTCACTCGCGTGACGCTCCGCTGAATGTTCTGCTCTATGAATGTGCGTTCCGCTCATGTAGCCTACCACTCACGCTAACTGGAAAAGCAAAGTCCACTCAAATAACGCGCCGACAGGAAATTTCTATGTATTATACTTGTCCCTGTTTGCAATAGCGCTACTGTACTGTAACATGCTGTAGTAAAACTGTACTGGGCAACGCTAGTAAAATGACGCTACCCTCTTGCTATGCACTGCTCACGTGCTCTGATAATAATAGCTTTGTAGGACTATAAATTATTTGTATAATTAGTCAAAAAGGTTGTATCTGATTCTGTTCCATAGAACTGAATGAAAATAATATACTGATATTTAATAGGCCTATTAATTTTTTTTGTCCAATTTTAATTTACTTTCAAGGTTATTTTATTGGCTTGTATTTTTTTAAATTCAGTATCATTAGAACTGAGTTAAATTAAAAAGTCTTACACTAGGGTTGAGCCGATAGACGATGCCATCGTCCATCGCCGATGGCTGACAGACATCACGATGTTAAGCTGTTCATTCAACAAGCAAGCTTTAAGCAGCACATGAGAATTTACACTGGAGAGAAAACTTTCACCTGCTCTCTATGTGGAAAGAGTTTCACAATGAAAAAAAAAAACTCAAGAGACACAAGAGAATTCACCCCGGAAAGAAGCCTTTCATCTGTTCTCAGTGTGGAAAGAGTTTCACACAACAAGGAAGCCTTGAGAGACACAAGATAATTCACACCGGAAAGAAGCCTTTCACCTGTTCTCAGTGTGGAAAGAATTTCACATTGAAACAAAGCCTTGAGAGTCACGTGAGAATTCACTCCGGAGAGAAATCTTTTGCCTGCTAACAGTGTGGAAACAGTTTCAGAGTCAAACAAAACCTTGCAAGTCACATGAGAATGCACACTTGAGAAAAAGTTTCTATACGTTTTTTTAGCCATACTGTTTAAAACAACACAGGTCCATTGGAAAAACATCTCTATCTACATTTTTGCAAAACTCCCAAAACATACCTATATAGTATTAGGCTTGCTGTGGTAGTCGGAGTTATTGGTATTAGCCGGTGTTAGTCTGTACACTGCTTACATTACTTGCCCACTGCATTACTGCCCCTGTTGTTGTTGTGCTTTTTTATAGAAATAAAAATTATTGAAAGACAATTCATGTTAGAAATGCCTGTTGGAAACAGGTACCTTTTTACATTGTATTTGGGAATGTAGTCTTGTTAAACCATCCTTTTGGATATCAAGTTATGGATATCTTAAGTTGCTGGTATGGTTCTGAAATATACCATGCGAAAAAGCGCATGTTGTCTACTGTCAGGAGCAATTTGAATTATTTTGATAGTGCAAACGGTTGAAGAGTTACAGTAACATGAATACAGCTTGGTTTTATGTGTCAGCGCTGACACAGATGGTTTAAAAGTGTTAACCCCTAAACTGTGTTTATTAGGTGACAAGTCTCAAATACCTAATGTTTCAAAGGATGTATTTTCTGTTATTATGGTATGTATTATAATGGCAAGTAGGGTTATTTTGAGACACTGGAAGACAGTGAAATCCCCAGGGGTCTCATTTATAAACGTTGCGCACGCACAAAATGGGCATAGAAATTGCGTACGCAATTTTCCACGCACATATCGGGATTTATAAAAAATAAACTTGGCGTAAATATGTACGCACCGTACGGATATTCTAGACCATGCATACGCACTCGTTTTCCTGGGGTGAGAAAAGTAATGAAGTAAACAACTATTTTAAAATCTGTTTTCATTTCGATATACACATTTACATTAAATATTCCACTCTCATTAATGGAGATAAGCACTGAAATTACGTAAACTCATTACGCAGAAGTTGAACAAAAATTATATGAATTTAGACATATTTAGTGGATGTGCTTGATCACTTTTCCTGTGGCATGCTGTTTTAATGACAGCGAGGAGTGCTATAATAATTCATATTTAAACTAAACTGCAGATCTCATGTTATGAGAAAATATTTTTAGTGAGAACAAAAAACGTCCGAACATTTCCGGAATTCGGGTTGTAGAAAGTGTCCCTTATTGATGCTTTAGCCGTATTATTGCAGAGATCTAAAGATTTTTTCCTATTACAACAAACAAAATCCAAAACTGCTTAAAACTTTACCATCAACCTCATTAATGAAGAATGAAGAATTAAGACCAACCTGTTTGTTCTTCAGTATCTTCAGTGTGTCTCTTAAATAAACTCAGTCTTTGCAGATTACAGCTCTTCCTGATGATTTGATGCTCGTCTTCACTTGTAAACTGATGGGAATATTCCAGCTTAATTTCTGTGTGGAAGAAGATTTGCCAAAATCAACAGTAAATCAGTTTACTTAGTTATTTTTTTAAGAAATTCACACATTTAAGCATTTATGTAATTGAAGCAGAAAAGACCAGGGTTCTTATTTATAAACGTTGCGCACGCACAAAATGGGCATAGAAATTGCGTACGCAATTTTCCACGCACATATCGGGATTTATAAAAAATAAACTTGCCGTAAATATGTACGCATCGTACGGACATTCTAGACCATGCGTATGCATTCTTTTTCCTGGTGTGAGAAAAGTAATGAAGTAAACAATGATTTTACAATCTGTTTTCATTTCGATATACACATTTACATTAAATATTCCACTCTCATTAATGGAGATAAGCACTGAAATTACGTAAACTCATTACGCAGAAGTTGAACAAAAATTATATGAATTTAGACATATTTAGTGGATGTGCTTGATCACTTTTCCTGTGGCATGCTGTTTTAATGACAGCGAGGAGTGCTATAGGTGCACAATAATTTTTTATATAATTATATAAAAAATAGCTTAAAGATGTTCACCTTATCAGCAAAACTGCATAAATTAAATTAGATTCGAATTGTTTAAAACAATTGAAATACTATTCGGCCAGTGGAAAATAATGAGATCAACTAAAATAAAAGTTGAAATATTGAAATATAACTCTAAAATATTTATCTGAGAACTATTTTAAACCGTTTTGTTTTTATGGATTTTGATATATTTATGCTAAAACCTAACAAGGACACTGGATGATTTTTAGCAATAAAAATTGTGTATGGCACAAATGGCATTTATAGTGCGTATCTCATATTTCCTTAATGTCTTGTACCTTTAATGGTGTTAAATATGGTGTCATGTGGATGGGAATATGCATGGAAATGATATGCAGATGAGGTTATGCATAGTAAAATTAGGCGTTGTAAGCTCCATATATGGTGATTTCGGGGAGGAGTCGGGGTGGAGATGCACGTACGCACAATCTTCCCCTGACTGGGATTTATAAAGGGATTTTTGCGCAGGTTCTGGGGTCTAAAAAATCTAGCTTTTGTGCATACGTACACTTTTAGGATGAAATCTACGGAGAGTTTTAGAAATGAGACCCCAGAACTGTAAGAGTGCCAGTGCAATGGTAGAAATTGCATCTTATGAATCCATGCTTAATCGAGTAAATGGTGTTAGAGAGGAAGGGTTGTCTCTCTGGGAAGAGTTCTTGACATACAGTGGTGGCCAGAATTATTAGAACATTAGTATTTTCACCAGCTAAAAAAGTTTTAAGTCAGTTATTTCTATCTTTTGCTGTATGTCAGTAGGAAATATCAGTTTACATTTCCAAACATTCATTTTGCCATTAATTGTAATAATCCAGTAAGATTTTTGTTGGCACAAGGAGTCTGACAACAGCCAGTGCTCCACACAGAGATCTGATCTGATCTCATCGTGTAAAAATGCTGTAAAGTGAGGATGCTTTCAAATATAATGTCATAAATAGATTTTCTATATCAATTAACTTCTATTAACTAAATTAATTCAACATTTGGTGTTCTGATTTAGGATTTATAGTGGGATAGATGTGCACTGACCGCTACAGTATTCTTGTCAGAGAACTCAGAGTCATGTCTCAATGATAGCCTTTTAATGATTGCTGGCATCAACATAGATGGACATGTGCAAGGTTTTCTAGAACAATAAAATAAAAATAATAATTAGCAGATGAATCACTTAAGTGTTACATAATAGATATAAATAATAAACAACATAAAGTATCTTCTACTTATACAAGTCAAAGTGATCGATCGCTATATTTAACTTCAAAGGATTGACGGCATATATACAGCGTGTAATTCACGTGCGGTAAATGGGTCGCATTAATATAAATAAATAAACTTAGAAACAGTATCTGCAACAAATATACTTGCAATATAACATTAATATTCAAATAACACTGGACTTACTTGTCCGTTACTCATACAATGTCCTTATAATGCGAGCAATCCAGAGAGTCAATCAAATCAAAAACCTTCATTTTAGAGCACCTGGAGACATGCTCACTTGAAAAATTATCAGTAATTTTATTGTAAAATGCAAAACGTTTAGTTGAAAAGCTGTAGGTTAGATTTACTCTATGCTGTGCTCTCATTTGGATAACTAGTAAACATGTGTTGCTGACTCAGTTTTGTTAAATCATTTTCAAGCAAGGAGCTTTCACGCGCCCTTGTGTTTGTATCGGCATATGATGGACGAAAAGATGATGATGGTTACTTTTTTATGGATGTTTCTTTCATCCTTGTTCATCTATCAGAATGAAAGCTGTCGTAAGCTATCTGAAACTCTTTAAAACCTGTGAACACTATTAGAACACTCTACGCGGCCAGTGTAGCAATTCCCTAACGAATGATTCTCATGAGCTGGTTCTTTTTACTGAATTAAAGTCATACAGTGCGACCAGTATAGTCCGATTCCAGAACGAATGACTCTTCTGAGCCTAAGAGCCGGTTCTTTTTAGTGAATAGATCACGAGAAAATTAAGTCGTTATAACGAGAAAACAACTCTCCTTATGTCGAGATCACGAGAAAATTAAGTCGTTATAACGAGAAAACAACAAGGAAAAATAATAATAATGCATGGCCGCTTAGAACTTCCGTAGCATATACATAAACCCAAATAGGAAACAAAACCGTTATCGAATAAGCATGTGTACTAAACTCCTGAAATGTTGGTGTCTCACATTTTAGAGCAGTCAATGCAATTTTGGGAAAAAATCAATTAAATCTGTATGTGTGTGAAAAAAAAAAAAATCAGATGTAACCCCCTTTGTAATCATTAACATTTACATAAGTAAGTAATTTACTTTTCTCACATTTTCTCAGTAACTATAACTGATTACAGTTACATTTATTTTGTAATTAAATTAAGTAATTTAGTTACATGTAACTAGTTACTCCCCAACACTGTAATTGACTTTATATTTTTATGATCTAAATTACTGCTACAACAAACTGACCTACATATGCAATTAAAATAAACAACTTTACACTAAAGCCTAATCGAGTCAATACGCCGCGCCGTGAAGCCAGGGAAAAGAATCACTGAATCATTTAACTGTTCAAAAGAACCGATTGGTGGAAATGAGTCGGACTTCCCATGTATTTCAGTCAGAATCGAGCAACATGGCTGCGGTCTGCGCTGCCTTCCGTGTCCTCGGGAGAAATATTGTATCATCTAAAGCTGTAAGTCCTCTCTTATACTTTGCATGCTTTGTTTTGTAATGGCATGTGTCCAGTGCAGGCCGAAAGTTTGAATGCTTTATACTCAGATGTCGCTATGCTCTATTGTAGTCTGTTATGTGTTGGTTTTGTAACCATCATCTGCTGGGTTAAGTAACACTGTTACGTAGTATTAGTACCTCTGTTATATGAGTGGAGCTTGTCTTTTAGCAGTGAGGCTTGAGGGTTTTTCACCTAATGCATTGTGATATTTCATAGAAGTAAAGATTAGATAGTTTGTTAACAGGAATCCATTGAAGGTCAAGCAGGCAACATTAGCCATGTAGTGTTGAATGCTCATGTCATTATGTTAGATATTATCACTTTTTAAGTGTCTGGTTGCATGATTTTTATTCGATTGCGGCTCGCATGTATCCTCAAACAGTCTCCAACCTATATTTTATCTATCTATTACAATGAAACTAACTTAAAAGCAGATGTCTCACTGTTATGTCACCAGAAAAGACCAAAATACATTTGAATAATGCGTGAATACTATGTTGTGTTGCAGTGTTTTTTTTTTAAATGGAATTTGTCATTTACTAAAAGACTGCAAGACTTTTTATCTTATTGCAGATGTATTTTTTATTTTATATTTATTTTAACATACAGAATATAAAAAATAAATAAATGAAGAAAAAATCAAGCAGAAGGATGGTGAAGATGAAAATAAACATAAATAAATTACATGCATTTTAAATGGTTGAAACATTACTTTTCTGTAAAGCTGCTTTGAAACTTTGTTTGTCTGTACAATTAAATTTGGATTGAATTGGACTGAATAAATACTCAAATGAAGGTTAAGCATTGAAATGTACAAACATAGATAAACATCACAGATGTGACTTTGCTTATGTTTTTGACTAATAAAAACACTTTTTGTTGCTTCATCCAGCTGCCAGCGGTGTGCCAGGCGAGCAACCGCAAGTTGCATTTCTCAATCTATGGAAAAAAGGGAGATGCAAAAGTCTCAGATGGTGTAAGTATTTATAATACTTCCTTGTTTGGTTTCATTAGCTTTCATTTTGACAGTTATATGCATATATGCACCACCATAGCAGGCTAATAAGGTGATTGTCACTTTAGTGAAACAACATTAGATAGGCTAGTGGCCTTGTGTGATCATTGTGTTGTTGGTATTTGTCTCCTCAGATCTCCACTCAGTATCCAGTAGTAGACCATGAGTTTGACGCTGTCGTGGTGGGAGCCGGTGGCGCAGGGCTGCGTGCTGCGTTCGGTCTGTCGGAGGCCGGTTTTTAACACAGCCTGTGTCACCAAACTTTTCCCCACCCGCTCACACACGGTGGCCGCACAGGTTTGGAGATTTCCTCTAGTAACAAAACAATCTGCCCTCTTATGCCCTCTCATATACTTCAGCAGCACAACCTGTCTGCCATCTGGATTTATGCTAGGTTTTATAGGTTGATATTTATTGCAGGTAATTCCTAAAGCCAGGACAATAAATATTAAGACACTGATGCATCAGATTCATGTGATTTGCTCAGGAAAAGAGTGAATTGGAATCAGTTCACACTTGTCTTTCCTGAAGTGTTAACCTTATTAAATCAATTACAACAAAAATGACAACTTTCTTGTTTCTTTTCCTTTATAAAATAGGGTGGAATTAATGCTGCATTAGGCAACATGGAGGAGGACGACTGGCGTTGGCACTTTTATGACACAGTGAAGGGATCTGATTGGCTGGGAGACCAGGATGCCATTCACTACATGACAGAGCAGGCACCTGCTGCAGTGGTGGAGGTGAGAGACGCTTACAGAGCCTGCCGCTGTCACCTTTACTGTCAGGAGATTGGATAAGAAGATTCTGTTTCCTTGTCTCTAACTCAAGCTTTGCTTAGCTTCAATAGAATTGATTTAGATTGTGATTTCCATCTCGTGAGAGGTTGTTGTGTCTTTTCAGCTGGAGAACTTCGGTATGCCGTTCAGCCGTACCGAGGAAGGGAGGATCTATCAGCGTGCCTTCGGAGGCCAGAGTCTGAAGTTCGGTAAAGGAGGTCAGGCTCACAGATGCTGCTGTGTGGCAGACAGGACGGGTCACTCTCTTCTTCACACACTCTATGGACAGGTGAGTGAGAGTCTGTGGATGTGATCTGGACTGATGTTGCTTAAAACTTCAAGAAATCAAGATATAAAATCCTAGTAGAAGTTACAAAACAATTCAGCTTGAACGGGAGCACCTGTTGAGCCCTGTCTGAAATGTATCTGTTGGTGTCTAGTCTCTAAGGTATGACACTAGTTACTTTGTGGAGTATTTTGCCCTGGATCTGCTGATGGAGGATGGCGAGTGTAAGGGAGTCATCGCACTGTGCATGGAGGACGGATCCATCCACCGATTCAGATCCAAGAACACAGTCATTGCCACTGGGTAAGGGAAATCATCAGGTTTTATGTCTTAAAGGGATATTAAAATGAATTTTGTCATCATTTACTCTATTTCAAGTTGTTCCAAACCTGTATGAGTTTCTGTCTTCTGCTGAACACAAACTAAAATATTTTGAAGAATGTGGGTAACCAAACAATTGCTGGTACCCACTGATTTCCATAGTAAGGGACCAGCAACTATTTGGTTACCCACATTCTTCAAAATATCTTTCTATATTTAGTGTTCACCAGAAGAAAGAAATTCATGCCGGTTTGGAACAGTTTATTAATATTTTAAATTAGCTTTTATTTTTAGGTTTTCAGTTTTTATTTTAGTTTTAGTAATTTTGTTATGTGCTTTTAATAGTTTTTTTTTTAAATTATATATTAATTTATTTTAATTTATTTTATTTCAGTAAATATGATTGTAATTTTAGCACTTCACATTTTAATTCAAAGAGTTTCTATTTTTTTCTAATTTAAGTTATTCATCTAATATTTATATTTCAGCTTTATTTCATTATGATTATAAACTGAATATTTTTAGTTTTGATTTAGTTAACAATAACACTAGTATTCAGAAGGATTCTTTAAAACAAAAGGATAAAAACAGCTTTTTTCTAACACTAGTTTTTAATTACATCTTTATAAGTTTGTTTGATTGTTTGAATTTGTTTACTTTGTTATAATTGTTTTGTTTTTAATGGCAAAAGCTGTCACTTTTATTAAAAAAAATAAATATTTGTAAGTAGAATGTATTTATTTTTTTGTAAAGATTGGTTTTACAATGAGGATGTACATAGTATTATTACAGTGTGTGTTATTACAACATACAAATAAAGATATTTATTGTGTTTTCTCTGCAGAGGTTATGGCCGCACATTCTTCAGCTGTACATCAGCCCACACCAGCACAGGAGACGGTAATGCCATGGTGACCCGTGCTGGACTGCCCTGCCAGGATCTCGAATTTGTGCAGTTCCACCCCACAGGTGAGCTGCTTTCTTTCATAAGCCTGGACAAGTCCTTTAGAGTACCTTGACTCTATAACATCTCTTTGGCTTTGGCAATATCTGACTGTTATATATTACAGCTGTGGTTATACTATTTCTTTGCCGTGTTTACATGCGTTTACAGCTCTTCCACTGATGTCCTCAGCCACCCTATGGTTGGTTTTAAATGACGTGACCTCTGACGTAATTTCCCTTAGGAATCTATGGAGCCGGATGCCTGATCACAGAGGGTTGCCGTGGAGAGGGAGGAATCTTGATCAACAGTGAAGGCGAGAGGTTCATGGAACGTTACGCACCCAATGCCAAAGATTTGGCCTCTAGGGACGTGGTCTCACGGTCCATGACCATTGAGATCAGGGAAGGAAGGTATAATATACTTCATTTTTACTGTAATATCAGTATGTGATTTTGTGCCCAAAACACACACTCCATTTTAATGTACTATTTAAGGTATTGCAAGATTGTTGTTAACTTCACTTTCACAGACAGTGTGTGACTGATTAATAAATGAACTGGTGATAAGTTTCAAAAAAGAGTTTCCACCCTGTTCCCCCCAGAGGTGTTGGGCCAGATAAAGATCACGTCTACCTGCAGCTCCATCATCTTCCGCCCCAGCAGCTTGCTACTCGCCTGCCCGGCATCTCTGAGACCGCCATGATCTTTGCTGGAGTGGACGTCACGAAAGAGCCCATCCCAGTATTACCCACCGTCCACTACAACATGGGCGGCATCCCCACCAACTACAAGGGACAGGTATTGTGATGCTGTCTTTTTATGCGTTGCGTTGCATCATGCCGTGTAAATATAAAACCATGTCTGCATTTGTGATCGGAGAAATTACAAACAACAAACGCTACTCTACACTGCTCAAAACTCGCGTTTGAATCGTCAGTGGCGAATTCTTTAATATAAAAAACGTACTTACAGTCTGTGAGTTCTTTGGATTTGAGACTTTAGTCTTTGCAACTTTACAGATCTTCTTTATGCACCAAGAGCTTGTAACACTCCAAAGAGAAAGGAAAAATTGAAATCGCATCATATGACCCCTGTAAGTAATACAATATGAAGTGTTATTTGTCCTGCACTGTTTGTCATAGCACCATTTATTTGTGTACACAGTTTTATATTAGAACTGTAGTTGTAATAGGTTTACACTACCATTCCAAAAAATTGGGATCAAGAAGTTTATTTTTTTTTAAAGAAATTATATTTTTATTCAGGATTGATTAAATTGCAAAAAAACATTACATTTAAAAGTGACAAAGTAAAAATACAACAAAAAAAATCTAATAAATCCATAAGGGTTAATGGAATGAAACTATGTAAATTATTTACTTTTTTCCATTCTTTTTTTTTTTTTTTTTTTTTAGGCCATCACCCATGAGAATGGAGAGGATATGGTGGTGCCAGGCTTGTACGCCTGCGGTGAGGCCGGCTGTGCATCGGTGCACGGTGCAAATCGTCTGGGCGCCAACTCACTGCTGGATCTGGTTGTGTTTGGACGCGCTTGTGCCCTGACCATTGCTGAGACAAACACTCCAGGTAGCTTCAATACACCCTGAAATGGTGAAGGAATGCCTGATAATTGCCTTTTTTTTTAGACACAAGACACAATCCTGAAAAGTAGTAATTTAGTAATTATTTACATATTTAGCAAAGTTTTTTTACGTTCAGTTGTGATTTATTTATCTTTCTTTCTTTCTTATAGGAGAGAAGCTTTCCCCTCTGAAACCCAATGCAGGAGAAGCATCTGTCGGCAATCTGGACAAGATCCGCTTTGCTAACGGCAGTACCAGAACCTCAGAGATCAGACTGAATATGCAGAAGGTCCGTCACCTCACTGCAGCTCTTTATTTCTTAAAAGAATCCTAAACTTATTGACTGATCAACAGGATGCTGCTAGGAATTGAATCGAAGCATATGGTAGCCTCATCTTATGATTTAGGATGATCTCAAGTGGTTATAATAAAATACTAATTTCAAAATAATCTGTTTTGTTTTTCTTTTGGACCTCAGACCATGCAGAATCACGCTGCTGTGTTCCGCACCGGAGACGTGCTGAAGGAGGGTTGTGAAAAGATGGACTCCGTCTACAAGTCTATGGATGACATCAAGACATTTGACAGAGGTCACACAATTCAAATTTTCATTCAGCGTTGATTAAAAGTGACAGACGGGATTTTGTGTAATTCTGATCTTTCTATTCATCAAAGAATCCCATCAAATCATGATTTCCACAAAAATATGAAGCAGCACAACTGTCAGCATTGATAATAATCAGAAATGTTTTATGAGCAGAAAAATCAGCATATTAGAATGATGTCTGAAGGATCATGTGACACTAAAGACTGGCGTAATGATGCTGAAAATTCAGCTTTTCATCACAGAAATAAATTACATAAATGCATTCAAATAGAAAATAGTTATTTTAAATTGTAATAATATTTTTAAAATTGTA